GGCTTGCCTTCAATGGCTGTGAGGATGAGCAGCTCAACGATATGCATCTCAAGGTCAAGTCGCTGTTCAAGCTTGTGCAGGATCTGCCATAGAGCTTAGAGGCATATGAAGCAATATGAAGCAAAAAGGTGTTCAGGGATTGCAAGGGGGCTCTCTTCATGGGGTATGGGACTGTTCCAACGTTGTTGTAGAGGTTTGGGAAGCTTGCCTGGGAATTGGAGCCTGGAAGGCTGCTCTGGGCCAATTTATGATGAGGCCTTTGGGCCTGGGTCCAACATTGAGAGGGTGCCACCTTGGGACTCTGTTCAACATGCCCTCAACTCAAGCCACAAGGAGCTTTGAACATTATGAACCTTTGCCAACTTTGGGTCCATGGTGCATTAACAACCACTTCGATGCGGACCATCCACAAAAAAGAACATTAATTAATATTCGAAGTTGGAATTTCATTGTGGTGACTCGATCCTTTGGTCTCAATGAAGTCTCATGCCCGATTGGCAGGCTCATGGCATGGTGGGCCTTCTGCATCTACTCTTCGATTTGTGATGGTGTGGGGGCCCTGGTTGTCATCCCTTCTGGCATCTCTAGCTAGAGCTCTCGCTTGATGGATCTATTGTAACAGTCGTATGGGTTTACTTGTAAAATGATGCACAGCGCAAAAGTTAACTCCTTTAAGGTCTAAAGTCTCATGTGTGATTGGCAGGCTGTGGGGGGGCTTTCTGCCTGCACTCTTTGACTGCGATGGTGTGGGGCCCTGATTTGTCATTTGTTCTGGTGTCTCTAGCTAGAGTTCTAGCTTGATAGATTTCATAACAATCCTTCATTAATAAGAGGATGGACTGCAAAGATGCGCCAAACCATGTGGCATGAGATCCCAAACTATATGACTGAGATATCACACCACATATACCCCCGGCCATCTCCCATTCATCGGTGATTGCCTGTCAGGCCCTTTGGGCGCTGAAGCACGCTGGTACGACCCTGCCCGGCTGCGGGTGGTCGTGCTTGGGTGGGTAGGGTGGATGTAGAGCTTTGGGAGTCTCACGGTGCTGGCCAGGTTTGGTAAGAACACTTTACACATATATATACATATATGTCTTCGAATTGCCACTGACCACATAGATAGATTCTGGTGATTTAGATCTGGCTTTTGAAACTCATGCAACCCATTTGCATTGGTTCAAGATCATGAGCAGTGTGATGGATATATAGATGGAACCCAGCTCAAAGGCTGCCTAGGTATGAAACAATGGGAGGTGAACCCAATGACCAGTTTTGGAAGACGTTGACCACAGTCATGATCACAAGGCCCTATAAAGAACAGATATGTTTAGAGTGTTTCAATCTGCACTGATCGTCAATTAAATTGCCAATTTTGGTCTCGCGCCATGCCGAAAAGTGGTGAGCGAGAAAAGATCGCTGAATATGCGAAGGCCTTTGGGACAAGGCCACATCTGCGGGATGTTCCTTAGCAATACTCTTGATTGTAATTGTTGATATTGTTTGTATGGGTGGGGTGAACTTTGAAAAGGTATTTTTTTGAGATGGCGGCATCTGCAGGTTGGGTTCTCGTTCCTATGCAATGCAACTGGGAACCTGTTCCTTAACAAAAGGATTTCATTGAAGGATGTGGACGCGAACACGGACTCTATCTATGCTGTTATGATTGTGAGCAGAGGGCAGGGGAGGTACTCAGCTCACCTTTTGAAGGAGGCCATCCTAATGCGCTATGAGAATTGCAAACTCTACCCTGCTGGAGTTTCATCGGCAATGGAATGCATTCAAACATGGGCTCTGAAACAGGGGAAGGCACTTCAACGTTTGGTGGCTAGGCTTTTGATTTGGGGTGACCAGTTGTTCATGAATGACCAAATTGGGTGACCATTTTTGGGTCACGGGTGTATATTCTAGCTGGATTCCCAGGAGTCCTGGATATAACCCTGCTTTGTCATCCCTCTCTCAGGTATCCAGATTCCGCAGATTGTACCAACTGGCTGCCTCTTCCAAGAAGAAGCACATTCGGGACCTCAAGGC